TTCCTGTAAGCTAGAGCACGTTTATCAGCTGTCCAAAACACTGACCATTTTCCTAATACAGTAATGCAAGACTGGTGATGAAAGAAGTAAGCTGGGGCAAAGACATGATGTACCTTAGTGTTTGCTGGTTATGGTTGCAAATAGTTAGGCAATTGTTAATTTTCTTAAAAAACATGCATTTCGAAATGGAGAGGGAAAAGAAGATCTTGTTTAGAATTTATTTTCTCTCAATTTCTGAATACAGGGAGAAAGGTAAATAGTTTTTCAGAAAATATCCAACTTTCTTAAGCATACTGTATATTAAACATTTTATGGTCTTCCCTAAATTTCTAGACAATGATAATAATAATCCTGCATTTGATAATACTTATCACATCGCTGAAAAATCTCAAAGTGCTTCATAGAACATACTGTAAAGTGAATTGCCTGTGTATTTTGTGGGCAAAACACAGCAGCCAATTTATTCTACCCAATTACATCTACCCACTGCCTGATAAGATGATCTTTCCCTGGATAGATTGTAAGATACGAGCTCGAATATCCAACCATCCAGTTTATTGGATAAGTAAGCCTAAAAACAGGCGATTTAGCTCCATACAAGATCTCAAGGACAAGCCTGAAATCAGACACCTCCTGTTTCAGAAGCAAGGAAGTGCATTCTTTTACACTGAAGAAAATATCTTGTGATCACAAACATTTGAACGGATCTCTTTGGCTCTGTAAGGGGCTAATATTAGTTTCTTGTAGCTACAATACCTTCACTGGAGAAATCTGCACATGTGAACATCCCCTAACTTCGCACACAAAGAATGCAAGATACAGAGACAGTTATGCACTTTGCTGCCACAAAATATTATTCCATTGCATTTCACTCAATAGGCTTCAAGTCTATAGTAGTGCTGTTATTGAAGTTAGACTTTTTATATCAATTCACTGTCTTTATCTCCCATGCACTTCCATATAATTTCTGTTCAAATATTTAATCGCATTTCCTTTTTTATCTCAGGGCAAGCTGTAAGAATGATTGCTTACTCCATACTATTTTGGGTTTATGCTCTTCTAATTTAGGACCAGGCAATTGGTGGTCACATTAGCTCCAGTTTTTCTTCCTTGTCTTTATGACACTTCGTTTAGCGATTTGGTACTATTGTCATCATCTTGAACTATTGTGGTCACCAGTGATTACAGCAACATGGATGGATTAATTGTGCCTTCAATGTAGACACAGCTGGATTGCAGCTCTATCGCAGACCATTTTGTCCTGCTTTCTTAAAGACCCATAAAGATCTAGTTCGAAGCTCAACAAGGTTTTCTTCAAGCATTTGCAGTACCCTATGATGCCTTACCCCAATTGTTCATTTCCCTCCTCTAATTTCCTTCCTTTGACTTGATGTTAAGCTTTGTTTTATGCTGGGGTCCAGTTGTGCAGCGTCTAGTAGCTCACCCAATCTTCATGTGGATGCCCTGTGTTGGCAGGCTATTTAACAAAGGAGTTGATCACAGTCAACCTGACACAGTCAACCTGTGGAGTCCTAAAGCTCAATGGTGAGAGACCTGAGTTCTTTGCAAGTGAGAGACCTGAGTTCAATTCCAGGCAGGGCAAAACTTTGGGCAAGTTTCCTTACTCCACACAGAGCCTAATAATAATAATCCCTCCAAAACCAAAAACAATAATAAATTGGTAATTTTCAATATACGACTGTTTGTGGGACATTGCTGTGCGCAATTGGCTGCTGCGTTCGCCCACAAATATACAGTCAATTCACTTTACAGTGTGTTCTGTGAAGCGCTTTGGGACGTCCTCCCGACGTGAAAAGCGCTATATCAAATGCAAGGATTATTATTATTATCAACACAATGCGTGTAAAACGGTCATACTGTTACAGTGCTTCAAAATGAATAAAAGGTGTAATTTGGCTGAACTGCTTTTTTTGCCACAGCATCTGATAATAATAATCCTTGCATTTGATACAGCACCTTATTATGTTTTCAAGACGTCTCAAAACGCTTCACAGAATATACTGTAAAGTGAATTTAATTTTTTTTTGTTGGGATTATTTACCTTCGGAAGAGCGATCCATCAACCAGGTTCCTACTTACTGCTAGGTAAACAGAGACCAAGATTATACACAAAAGTCCAATTATATCCAACATCTTATTTACCATAACAAGAGTCAATGTTTAATAAAATTAGCAATGTTATGATTTCACGTGAAATGTTTCCTCAGTTAGAGTAATCTTGAACCCGTAATACTGCCAAAAATTTAAAAATGTTTTTTGGTCAATCAATCCATGACTGTGCGCAATTGGCTGCTGCGTTTTTGCCCACAAAATATACAGTCAATTCACTTTACAATATATCCTGTGAAGTGCTGTGAGACATATCAGCAATGTTTTAAGGCCCTATATCAATTACAGGGATGATTATTATTATTGTTACCACCTGCGGAAACTACCAGTAGACTAAAGGTTAACACTGTATCATAGAAAAACATTGGCATTTTGATAACCAATATGGATATTTATTACTAGAGAATTTAGAAAAAGATATATTTACATAAAATTTAGATAACATGCAAATATGATTGCTCAGGACTGATACTGGTTCCATAAACCATAAATAGTTCGAAACAAAACAGTTTGAGAGAGTGGAGCCACAGGTCACTTTTAATAAGTAAACACTTTTTTAGCTATTTTCCAAATCGGTGATTGAAAGGATAACATTAAGACCCAACAGTGTTTAGTGCGCTTGGACAGATCAGGCAGAAATGTAGATTTCCCAGCAATATCACAGGTATTTAGTAGGAAATTGAGCCACTTCAAACTTCCTGAGGAGAAGTAACTTCATACTCTGAATTTTTTTAAAAAAACAAACAAAAAGCCCACAAAAAACTTGTTTACAGGCAGAGAAAGGGTAAATATTTCCCAAGGACAATTCCAATCAGAAGCATTCAGTTTCACAGGGAACCCTATCAGTTCCTTCTCGGGCTTCCAAGACAAACCTGGAACAGCATCACGGCAAAGTTGGAGTCCTGTAGCTCAGTGGTTAGAGCACTTGCTTTGCAAGTGAGAGACCTGAGTTCAATTCCAGGCAGAGGGCGAAACCTTGGGCAAGTTTCCTTACTCCACACAGAGCCTAATAATAATCCCTTCAAAACCCAAAACAATAATAAATTGGTCATTTTCAATCTACGACTGTTTGTGGGACATTGCTGTGCGCAATTGGCTGCCGCGTTCGCCCACAAATATACAGTCAATTCACTTTACAGTGTGTTCTGTGAAGCGCTTTGGGACGTCCTCCCGACGTGAAAAGCGCTATATCAAATGCAAGGATTATTATTATTATTATTATTATTATTAAAGTAACGGCTTCAGTCCCTCAAACAAGCATACAGCCGTTTAACTGACATTTGTATCTAAAGCTAATGGGAAAGAACCATTTACAGAAATAAAAGCACCTTCACTGCATAACAATTGCAGATTTCAGTAAGAATCACCCCAGTCCTTGCCAGGCTGCTCTGGCTGCCTGTCCCACCCAGCGAGGATCGACTTCAAGATCCTCACCCTCGTATTCAAATCCCTCCATTCCTCTGCACCCCTGACCTCCTCTCTCCTCAAAACAGTCCCCGTTGCCTTCGTTCCTCCGGGTCTGGCCTCCTCCTCGTCCCCCGCGTCCCCCGCTCCACCCTCGGCAGCCGTGCCTTCAGCCACTATGCCCCGAGGCTCTGGAATTCCCTTCCTCACTCCCTCCGCCTCGCTCCCTCGCTTCTTATTTTCAGGTCTCTGCTGAAGACCTTTCTATTTTGACCGCGCCTTTGGTCACCTTCCTCCCCCTCCCCCCGGCTCGGCCCCGGGATCCGTCACTGTGAAGCGCTCTGAGACGCCGTCCGGCGTGGAGGGCGCTATATAAATCCAAGTTGTTGTTGCTGTTGTTGTTAAGAATAGTGATTTTTTCTGCACAGTGACTTTGGGAGCTTATACAGACTGGGTGACAGGTTTATAAAAAACGGGCTTCACATAGCTCTTGCAGAATACTGGTAAGGGGAAGCAAAGAACTTCAAGTTAGATCAGTTTTTCTGCAAGAGCTATGTAATCTGGGGGTGTAATCCAATCTGCATTTCGTGACCATCAGCACACAAGCCTGTTGAGAAATTGAGGCAAAGCTAATTGAGCCAGAGACCAGGGGGTGAATCTGGAACTTTTGATACTCTGTGTAGCTATCTAACGCGTTCCATTCCGCGTTTAACTTTTGAACATCGAGGCAGTGTTTAAAAAAAAATCTTAAAAAAAAAAATCTTAAACAAAATCAAGTGCAGGTCAAAGAAGTCAGTTCAATTAACATAGAACAAATGCGCGAATTGTATCAGACTGCGCAGAATAAATGATATTCATATAACAATGTCACAAGTGGAAGTGTGAAGTATGGGAGAAAAAACATAGCTCTCAATGGCAATTCATTTAACCTCACATAAAAATAAAGAATGGTTACATGGGAATATTGCAATAATGGACAAGTGATCATGATGTAGGATTGTGCTGTGCTGCAGCCAATTAGTCTCATTAATCTTAAGAGTGTTCCCAAGTTGAGCATATTTACACAGTTATGTGCAGTCCTGTAGCTCAGTGGTTATAGCACTCGCCTTGCAAGCGAGAGACCTGGGTTTGATTCCCGGCAGAGCGTAATGTTGGGCAAGTTTCCTTACTCCACACGCCTCTGTTTACCTAGTATAAGTAGGAACCCAGTTGTTAAGTCGACTGGCGGATCGCTTTTCCGGCAGTAATAAAAAAAAAGAGAATAATAAATTGGTCATTTCAATCCACAAATGTTTGTGGGGCACTGCTGTGTGTAATTGACTGCTGTTTTGCTCACAAAATATACAGCCAATTCACTTTACAGTATATTCTGTGAAACTCTTTTGAGACGTCTCGAAGACGAGATAAGGCGCTATATCAAATGCAAGGATTATTGTTATTATATTGTTATGGAATACAATACATACCTAATGTAGAGCACTCCATTGTGATCCACTTGTCGCTGCCATCCAATAGGGACTTGGATTGCCGATCCCCCGCCATCTCTGTCACCTTCACACTCCTTTCCTCCATTCATTTTTTCCCCGTTTCTGCTTGCGACACCTCAGAGATATCAGAAGTCAGACGATGCCTTGTGACTTCATGTCATCATGGCCTCTGAAACGCGACCATATGGTACAGTGATCCTCCACTGTACACAGTTCTTGAGGGGGATGTTCCAGCTCAGTGAGGAACCATTTCTTTAAGAGCCACCATTTTATACAAAGTCACTGCCTCATAATAATCCACATTCGTGAAGTGCTGTGGGATGATTCAGCGTTTGGGGATGTACCTTAGCGCGACATGAAGAGGACCAGCTGCCTCCTATTCGGAGAGCACATGATTCATAATAGCTTGTATTCAGTTCTCAGCTTCAAGAAAAGGATGATGTACGTTTTGACATGCAGTAGCTCTGTTTAGCTTCCTAGATTCGTTCAGCCTCGTCTTGCCTTCACAGGGCCAGGTTTCATTGCCGTGGATGTGAGTCACAGCTTAAGCTTCCTGGAATTGAATCCCTTATAGGCTGCATCCTTCACCTTCAAACTTACTTTTCCCAGCCAAGCCCAAGCCCAAGCCAGCCGTTTAACACAGCAACCTCACAATTTCACTGCCATAGTTTGGAATCATTCAGCCTTTGTACAAAACCCTGCAAGTAGACAAGACAGTTTAGGTTATTTACATTTTACAGGTACAAAACTTACCATTAGCTCAGTCAAAAATGAGCAAAAAAAAAAAACGGTGCTACAAATCGGTTGTAAAGGAAGTGGGTTTTAAATGAAATATTGCGTCCACTATAATGGGCTTTCTGTTTAAGTCCACCTCTCATAATAACTACAATACATTTCCCAGGGAGGAAGCAAAGAGGGAAGGGGAATTTTTGTTGCTACAATTCCTTGAGATTGAATGTAAAAGAGTTTTTTGTTACAAATTCTTCTGCATTCAATCCCAAGGAATTATAGCAACATCAGGAAATCACACAGTGAGATAACATTTTGCCCACAAAATATTCCAGCAATTCACTTTATAGTATATTCTGAAAAGCATTTTGAGAAGTTTCAACAACATGATAAGACGCTATATCAAACGCAAGGATTATTATTATTACTTTTGTCTGGTTTAATACTGAAAAATATTATATTGCCATAAGGATTTATATTTACTTTCATATGAGTTTTTAAAAAAACTGAACTTCAACGTTCTGAAGCAGACAAGAGTGTATGAATTTTAGAGAATTGAGACCTTTAAACTTCTGCCTAAAAAGCAAACTCTAACTAGCTGCACAAGAATTAAATCTCAATTAAAAGGCACTTTTTAAAAAAAAAATGGTCATAAATAAAAGAAAAAAAGGAACCGGGTTATATATTTCATGTTTTGGTTTTGAAGCTGCTGAAAAGGCAAAATAAATAACTTGAATCAGTAATTATACTCGACTTGGACATCTTAATACTCTTGACTAAGTAAGCTCCATTACGTTTATCCACAATGGCATCAGAAGTTACCATCCCAGACACTGTGAGACCAAACATTGTATTATTTTCTTCAGCGTTTCTGCATCACTTCACTAAAAGCTTTGTTTGGAATTTAATAATGTTAATATGCTAAGTTCTCAGTTCATTGTACTGATGCAAAGAGACATTAATCTTTCAAGTGAACTTTATCTAACTGTACTATAAATGCAAATTTCACAACGTCTTGGGGGAGGGGCAATAAACCTCCGTTATACAAATACAAGACACAGAGCCATGAGGTTTATGCTGCGAGGTCATAAAAATTCACTCAATCTAAAATAACTGTGCTTGTGAAATTGCACAACATTTTCATTTGACCCCAAAGCACAAATGAAAAGCACAGAGTAAGACTATATAGAAATCACAAACGCATTCTAATATTACTGAAGCTATTCCTTGCTTGCAAATAAATTGAAAGATAAAGCTTCAGATTTGAAAAAAAAATTAAGACAAAGATGAAAAAGGTCATAATTCATAAGTTTTGCTTCTATTTATTGCAATTTACAATTACCCAATACAACGAGCCACTGTTGCTATAATCGCCATAATCTGCAAAAGAGCATTCGTAATGAAACCATCCCCAAAAGCCTCCAAACACAACATTGAAAACAAAACAGCATGATTCCTCTCTGGCAGGCCGTAATTTCTTATGAAACAAAATGCAGTGGTTGATGCACTGGATGGTCCCAAACTGTGGTTCATTGGCAGTTTAGAAAATGAATAATGAAATCTGTGGTAAAACTGATCACATTGATGTAGGTTAGGTAGGTAGATTGACTGTACTTCACCACAAAGTACACAGCCACTTCACAAGATCTTCGGTGAAGCGTTTTGGGACGTCTCAATATAAGGCGCTTTCTCAAATAAAGGATTATTGTTTTTCTTATTATTTCGGTAAAAGAACCCCTAAATTTAAAATGCTGAAAATAAAACTGTTTTATTCAAATGTTGTTCCCATAGTCAAGAACGGTGAAAGCACCGTAGCTGGTAACTTTGTAGCCTGATCTCAATAATTGGAAAAATGATGGGAGTTAATCATCAGAAAGAAAATGACTTGTGTAATAAGAATCTAATAAATGACCGCCAATTTGAGTTCAGAAAGGGTAGGTCTTGTCCTGTTCCTTGTATGTATTTATGCCTTGGATTTACAGACGCAGTAATGTCCTTAAATTTGTAGATGAAACCAGGTTTGGGGTGGGGGGTGGGAGGGAGGAGAGGAGAGAAAGGGACTGTGCAATCAAGAGAAGGCAGCAGAGATCTTATAAAGAGGTTGATCGGTTTTGTACATAAGCTGACAACTGGCAAATTGAGTTCAATACAGATAATGCTAGGCACCTCAGGAAGGAAGAATAGGAAACACTCGCACTTCGTGGATAGCACAGAATTTGTCAATAATAATAATTGTTGCATTTGATCTAACGCCTTACCTTGTCGTTGAGACATCTCAAAGAGCTTCACAGAATATATGGTAAAGTGGTTTGACTGTGTATTTTGCGGGTGAAATGCGGCGGCCCATTGCGCACAGCAACATCCAACAAACAGTCATGGAGTGATTGACCAATTTTTTTTTAATATATATAAGGGATTATTACCCCCGGAAAAGTGATCCGCCGATCGACTACTTCCTGCTAGGTAAACAAAAGGCATGTGGAGTAAGGAAACTTCCCCAACGTTTCGCCATGTCTGGGAATCAAACCCAGGTTCTCTCGCTTGGGTTACCATTCTCACTGTTAAGGTTAGGAGCTGATGGGAGTGAACAGGGTGAAGACAAAACTACTAGTTCTTTATACGACAAGCATTCACAAAGGCTTCAAGGGGGAAGCTGAAAGAAATGTAGGTGTTAGTTTACTCATCTCTCACTCACTATGTCATTCTGTCTGATGCCCTCAGGACAACAGAGCTTTGGTGGAAGTGTTGTACTGCCATGGCTGGGGTCATTTCCTCCATATCCAAGCTCTTGAAGCAACAGTACCCAAAGAGCAAGATTAAAAAAAATGTATCTGTGGATGGATGCATTGGCTGCCAAATCATCTGTGGCATCCCTGTGTAGTCCTATAGCGTACTGGCTAGAGCACTCGCTGTGCAAGAGAGGACACAGGTTCGATTTCCATGGCAGGGCAAGTTTTCTTACTCCACGTCTCGGTTTGCCTAGCAGTAAGTTTGAACCCAGGTATTAGTCGCTTTGCGGATCTCTTTCCGGGGGTAATAATCCCTTCAAAACAAAATAATAATAATTTGGTCACTCAATCCACGACTGTTTGTGGGACACTGCTGTGTGCAAAATGGGCGCTGTTTTTTTACCCACAAAATTGTCAATGCACTTTAAAGCATATTCTGTGAAGCACTTTGAGATGTCTCAAGGATGTGATACGGTACTGTGTCAAATGCAAGGATTATTATTATTGATTATTATTATATCCCATCCCTACAAGGTAGTAATGTTTTTTTNGTATTGTTGACTTGCAAGGACATTTCTTGTTGCCAGAAGTACAGTTTGGAAACATCAATGCATGTACAATTGTTTCCAGGTTGTTGCTGGTGCTTTGGATTCTGTCCCATAATGTAAATGGGCCACTTTCCCAGTACCAGGAGCTCAAGGCTCCTTCAGACACAGCACTACATATTTACAATACAATAATAATCCTTGCATTTGATATAGCACCACATTCCATCATTGCGATGTCTCAAAGCGTTTCACAAAATATACTGTTAAATGAATTGAAGGGTGTTGTTTTGTGGGCGAAACGTGGCAGCCAATTGCACACAGCAGTCTCCCACACTAAGTCCCACAAACAGTCAATGGATTGAGTGACCAAATCATTTATTTATTTAAATTCTGTTTTTCCCCTTCAAATCCTGAATTGAACCAGGTGGGCTGGTCTGCATCATCAGTGCCCTGGAGAGAGTACTGACACAATTTGGATATTCAGTCGCCAAGCATATCATCTTGGAGCCAGCTCAGCTCCAAGTAGACCCCACTTACTTACCTCCCCTGAATATTGCTCAAGAACAAAGTACAGTAGTTCTTCATTTTCAATGCACATCCCACATGAAGCGGCCAGTCACAGACATTAACCAATTTATACGCAATCTTAAAATTGAATTCACTAGCATACCAGCTACTGGATGAACTGTGATAAACCTTTCACTGCTTGCTGTAGAAGGAAAGTTTAATTAATGCGAAGTAGTGTTTTTGTAAGCTCTGTTTTAGGACAGTCAGTCAACTCCGCCACGCAGAGCGATTGTGAAGAGCTTCTGGTCACAGTCCAAGTTGGATTTGTTCCCTTTTGGAATGGACTGTGGGCATTGGGCATATCATGGAAACCTAAATTTAAAAGACTTTAAGAACATTTTGACCGTCCTGAATCTCCAACATATCAGCTCACCAGACATTCTACTGATCTAATCTTTCAAACTATCACTGCGTAGTAATAAAACTATTACACTTTCAGGTGCATAAATTATAGTGGTTGAAGCGCGTTTATGTCATATATCAAAGCAAGGATTATATGGGGGGCAAGGAGAGAGAAACCCCTTAAACCAAGGGGGGGGTCCAACCTTTTGGCTGCTCAGGAATCGATACCCTATTTTTGAAACACCCGCAGACCGCAAAAGCAATATTCTGTGTTTCCCTTCCACAAAAATAACATTTACACGGCACCCTCTTTACTTCAAAGTGCTACACTGCCAGCTGGGCACCTGAGTTGGGGATGGAAGGTGAGGGAGGTGGGATGGGGAGGGGAAAAGATGACCAAAAGTGTGGTCAAAGAGTTAGATCTTGATGTGTCTTGAAAACAGGGAGGGAGAGAGGGAGCAAGTCAGAGGGACTGGGGCAAAGGCGAGGATGAGGCAATCGGGTGGGGGTATATGAAGCAATGCGGTGTTTCCCAGGCAAACGGAACAACAACAACAACAAGATTCCATTTATAAAGCGCCTTTCACGTCAGGAGGACGTCCCAAGACGCTGCACAGTTGGGTCATGACCCGAGCAGGGGGGGAAATGGTCAGGGTGAGGGGAGGGAGGGAGCGAGGAGGGGGGAAATGGTCAGGGTGAGGGGAGGGAAGGGAGGGAGCAAGGAGGGGGGAAATGGTCAGGGTGAGGGGAGGGAGGGAGCGAGGAGGGGGGAAATGGTCAGGG